ATAAACGCTACCCACACCCTCCCCTCTCTAAGTTACTCACACTAAGTGATAAACGAGCAAGACAGTATAGGGGGCGATCGCGTCAAGGAATCTTGGCAATGAGGAAGAATCGAAAAATACAGCTAGCATAACCAGCTCTGTCCTGACTTGAATAAGGTTACGTAAGGAAGTGGGTGGCTGTTCGATCATCAGAACTGCCAAACAGTATATGCTTTTTTTCACTATATTTTACAAAGAGTTCCGTTTCCTGAAGTGTTCGAAGAGATAAGTCGAGGGGGGGGGGCAACACGCAGGAAATTTAACGAGCCAAATAGGGAGCAAACTATGGACAGAAGTTCCAAATTGTCAATTTATTGCCCAGTCCATTTTTGACATAGGCAAGGGAACTGGCGGCTTTGGCAGTGCGGGCCGACGATTATCGCTCATGTACAAGCACAAGTACAGTATGGTGAGTGCTGCAAGCAAAATGTCGCAATTTGCGAAAGACTGGTTATCACTCGCAAAACAACATTAGGTAGGGTTGCAATACTGATTATCATGCAGTCTAAAGTCAAGTCTTTTCAGTCACGCCAGAGTGCCGGCACTGTGGTGAGCTTCTTTCTGGCCGCTTAGAAAAAGTATATTCTGTGAAAAATGACTACTTAAATAGTTTGCATTTTTACCATGGATTTTGACTGCCTGTATAAATTTAAATATATTTTATAGAAAGCATGCACGAAACTATTCTTTCTTGTACTTATTTGGTAGGAAATTATGTCTTCTTTAAACTTTGCACTTACATTTTGGTCGTAAAAGTTTCTGAATTACCAAATAATTTTGAAATTTACCAACAGCTACACCAGGCATTCAAGGGTTCCAAAAAGAATGTTTAAGGAAAAAAATGTTTTGCCTACGGTTTGAGGAAGAGGTCGCATGATTCTCATAAAATTTTGCAATAGATATGGATCATGCTGTAGACATTATAGACAGCATTTATAAATCGACGGATACAATGTATTATGAATGAGCACCTCACAGTCGTCAAAAATCTCATGATTATAAATTTTTCTAAAACCGAAACATACCTTGACGACGAGTGGGCCCCAAACTGTCATTTTAACGATGGTGAACACATTTTCCCAGTCGAGAGCTTTACATATGAATGTTTTAAATTCTCATCCACGGCTAAGCTAAACAAGCTCAGCAGTTCATACAGTTGAAGTGAAGACATTGCGCTTGTCTTCCTGGTGAAGAAAAAAACGTTTGATAGCAATCTTTGACTGAGACATGGATGTTCATCCCAGCCTAATCGTTCCAACACCCCTCCATTCAGTTGCGTAGAAGATTTGCGCGTTCTGATCCTCGGACCTCGAGAAATATCCCTGCGCTGGCGCCTTGGCGACACCGCGCTGGACACTCTGGAGCAGATGGGCAGAAGGAAGACAACCAGTGGACGGGAACGCAGACGCCTTGGTGGCGGCGGTATGTCGGACAGTGGGTACGCCCTCAGTGACGACGACGTGGCCACTGAAGAGCTGAGGGAACATGTCCACTTCTCTGT